GAAAGGCAGGCCTGATTTGCTTCCAGAGAATGGTAACAAATTACTTGTTTGGTTTTGGGGTGTGAGGCATGAATGGATATTTAATTTAACCCGTTCGTTCCTGTAAACATGTGCACTGCATACGCACGTCTTATTTACTCACATCTGCAGCATCGCAATATCCCATTTTATAGTAAATAACTTTTTAAATAACGTGCCTTTATTTAGATGTTGTTTTTTTTGACGCATAGATTTGGCTGTAAAACCAAACGTGGCCTTCCACAAAGGAAAACTGGCCCAGAGCTCGGTGTCGCAACGCAACCTAAGCCTCTTTCAGTGTCGGCGTTCTCTTCAGAAATTCCGCATTTTCTGATTCGCTTCGAACACAGAGGTTCAATGCAAGACATATCAATGAGCCGCCTTTATTTCAAGAGTAGAAATCTATGTTAATAAGCATTAATATCACCAATAATAAATGCCGAATAGGATTATTTCTGTACCCCATGGTGAGCTTTCTGCCAGGTTTACAGACCTGCTGGAGGTTTTTTTTTTGTGGGTTGTGTCGCCATCATGTGGCCAGTTGTGGTACAGACGCTCTTATGTTACTTCCAAGTACTTCCACAAGACACTGTGAAACTTTACAGTAACATTCTGGTGTTGTTAAATATATGAATTCGTCATCTTGATGCTTGTACTGCACCTGTATAGAAAGCTGTGAGTCTTTTGAGCTTTAACAAAAAGATCTGCATAGTTCTAGGAGTGTTTTCAGCAGGAAGTTTTCTTTAAGTTCCTGGAATGTTCCTCTTAAAAGCAGGATGGATTTCTATAAAAACCCTCTGAAAAATGCTCTTAAAACGTTTTCCAAGTGTTACATTAAGAACGTCCTTCCTCTGTTGACATGTAACATGCAGGAACGTTTTATAAAAGTAGTTTCTCAACATTCTCTGAATATTTCAGGCAAAACGTTCCTCCTTTGTTAATATATCAAATTACAGTAACATTTTATCAGAACACATTCTATCCTGATCTCGAAAACATTTTTTGAATGTTTACCAGACAGCATAATCTCCACGAACCATCCTCTGAATGCTAAAACGTTCTGTCTTAGTTAACTTTTAACCTCATAGGAACATTACTTTTCATAAAACGTGATTAAAATGTTTTCTTTCAAACCTTATTAGAACTTGTAGGTAATGTTAGCCAATGTTGTGGGAACGTTCCCTGCTTGTTGGGTTGGTGATTTGCCATTTAGTGACCCTGTTTGAAACCACTGTGCTTGTTTTAGCAGGACAGTGGTTCAGAATAAGTCATTCAGGCCTCATGACAGAAATCCAAAGTTGGTTCTTGATGCTGAGAAAACCAAATTCATGTTTTTTTTCTAGCGCTGACTGCCAGATCTTGGGTATTCCTAACACTCATACCTTAGCCAGTGTTGCAAGAAGAGGTGCAAGCTGCATGGTGAGGCACGATGAAGATGGAACGCTGGCAAAAAAATGACGTGCTGGAAAAATAGGAAGCCATTTGTTTGCATTCCCAAAACACAGAGCAGTACCCAAAAGAAGAAAAAAAAAGAAAACCAAGAGGAAAACCTTTCTCTTACTTCCAGCAATGAAGCAGTTGAGCGTTGCATTGTGCTGCCTTCAGAACAGACCATTCCTTTACTTCCTGGTTCAAACCGGCCAATCAGGTCAGAGCTCCAGATGTGAGGAAGTTAACAGCAAATACACGTGATTTTCTAAAGATTCTTCCAACAAGAACAGCTCAGTTCATGGATACACAATCAGGCATCAATACTGAACCTTCAAAATAAACAACACTTTTGTGCTTTTGTCTGTTTTCACCTTTAATAGTTGAAATTTCATCACACTGTTATCCAATCAGATTTGAGACCCCGCCTACACATCTAACTCAAAAAACAAGATGGCCTCTGCTTGGTTCAATCAGACAAAACAAGTTAACTGTAAACATAACGGTGTGTGATCTATGTCCACATTTCTACGAAGGCTTACATGTAGTCGTGCTGATGGAGACTTAAATGGACAATCATCATCCTTTAAGTATTTTAGCATCTGGGTGAACGATAGACTCTCTTTCAGAATACACATTGAGCAAATGCAGAAATAATCTTAAATTCCAGCTGGGTATTTATTATCCAGATAACATCAGATAGGAAGATGCTTGCACAAGCATAACTCATTGTCCAATATGGTCTGGAAATGGTATGTTGTTATTTACAAAGAAATACTGAGTAAACTCCATTCTTATATGATTTTTCCCTCCAATAAATGGCTGCTCTTCAGGATTTGCTGCTGTTTCTTCTGTCTCTGTTACAGAACAACCTTCAAAATAACTTGATCAAAACATGTGTAACTCAAGACAGCGTTTGTTATTCCTAATGTGGAATTTGCTTTATTTGTTGTTAATCCCTTTGTTGTTTCAGTGTGTTGTTGTTGTTGTTGTGCCTGATTTTGAACATTTTTCCGTAACTTTACGCTCACCAGGTCTCTCTTGGGGTAAGAGTTTCTAATTTCGTGGGACTTCCTGCGTAAATAAAGGACAAATTCATTTTTCTTCTTACAAACAATTCAAATTAACAAATTGAAATTTGTAAAAACATTCAGTTGGTAATATATTAAATAAGAAACGATGGCACATGTCACATATATTTATGACGTATGTATCTCTCCTGTTAAAAAATATTCAATTAAATATTGTTTTATTGGCATTATTATCAAATTAACAATACTGACAAGGCGGGACAGTTTCTTAAATAAAAGATAATAAATAAATAAATAAATAAATAAATAAATAAAGAATAAAAACAAATAATAAAAAATCACAAGACAACTAACTGTGTCCCTCGTTCCTCATGACAGAATCTGTTTCTTTTTCATTGTCCAGTTTGTCTGTGAAGTTTGTTGTTAACCAGCTGAACCTTTTTAAGTCTCCCTAAGTATTCCTGTCTTTTATGATTGTCATTTTTACATTTTAAACATATCCTACTTCCTGTCACCTGTCCTGTTCTGACCGGACTCTTCTGTCGGTAGCTGTGGTCACTGAGTGTGTGTTTGCTCTGGATTTATTTCTGCTTTGCATCTCCGGCAGTAAAAAGATACTCCGGCAATTTATATTCATGCTTTAGCGCCATATAGCGTTAAAGTTTTGGTTTAGATTCTCTCATATTTTCATAAGTAAATACGGTTCATCCAGATATTTGGATGCTACAGGAACATGAACATGAATAAATGAGTTAGACGTGAACTGTGTCATGTCTCTGCTTCTGACTCCGTCTTATAGAATAAAATAAATGAACATACAAATAGTTGGCTAACCAGTAAACATCATTTCTCATTTATAGACGGTATGTAAGTTGTTGTTTTTGCTACCTCAGACATTTAAATTTGACATCGGAACACACTATTATTCATTTCCCTCTACAAAATTAAGACATTTCCACCTTGAAAAAACTCTTGTTGAACATAAACCAACTGATAAATGCAGCCAAGAAGAAACAGCAGCTCGTGGGGACCTCTGCTGGCGTCTGTAAAG